GCAAACATCGACCACCACCTGCTTGTATGCCCATATTTTGGGGCCTTCCCCCCGAATTCCTTTCTTATACGTCACGCGCGTACGCCCCCACAGTACTTTCCTATGGGGACCACTAAAAAGCAAATAAAACGATTGTAAAAGCTTGTATCAAAAAATTTTAAAAAGCCTAGGGGTATTTACCCACTCTACCTCTATACGAAATTCCAAGTAATTTCTCCCAAAAATGAAGGAGTTGAATCAATTTAAAGAAGTGGCAGGAGGAGAAGGAGAAGAAGAAGAATCATCAGTAACTAGAAAGGCCAATATTTGCTTTGGAGCAAATACAGCGATGGGTTCACCACATTTTACGACATGGCAGGGAAGAATGAGAAACACAAGGGAAAACAATGATTTACATTACTATAATATGAAGTAACATACAACTAAAACAACATTTGGATAGCTATTCCCTACTTTATTGGTTAGGATTTTTAATTGCATAATGCAAACTGTTGATTTTCAAAATAAATAAAAAACGTTCATGCCCCGCATTCCAATGCTGGAGCAGAAAAGCTTGAAATACCTACCAAAACACTTGAATAAAGACATACTGTCAGTATGGAAATGCTCTGTGCAGGTGTTAATCAAGTTAAATCCCAACAGCCAATCAGCAAGAAATGCTCTGTGCAGGTGGAAATGCTCTGTGCAGGTGTTAATCGAGTTAAATCCCAACAGCCAATCAGCAAGAAGTATAGAGGAAAGCTGCATGCCTATTGGTTGATGCCCTGCATTCCATTGTGATGACTCATGCCCAGAGGTGGTAAACAGGGCACACTAACACAGTAATACATTTGCTATAACACAGCCAAAAAACTCAAATAAAACCATTCTAAAAGCCTGTATCACAAAAATTTAAAAACGCCTAGGGGTATTTGCCCACTGTACCTCCATACCAAATTTCAGGACCTTAGGCCCTAAAATGAAGAAGCTGAATCCATTTTAAAAATGGCAGGAGAAGAAGGAGGAGAAGGAGGAGAAGAAACATCAGAAAAAGCAATATGGGTTCACCACCACCACTTCGTGGTGTGGTGAACCCATAAAAACAGTATTTCACTCCATACTGAAGTATGGAGTGAAATAAAAAGAGATTCTACTGGCAAATTTACCGGTTGTCCTCATGTCACATGTCAGGTTCGTGGTAGAATTTTAACCATATACGGGGCTAGGATCAATCGAGTTCAGATCTCGAGGCGGAAGAATCAGACATTTTATGAACGTTGGCTGTTGGTTATTAGTTCAAAGGAGGTCGCTTCTAAATTTACAATCTAGACAGCTGAAAAGCGCTGTCCAAAGAGAACTAATGGCCTTTTACCTTCAATGTAGTTTTTTTGTAAAAATGATATGAAAAACCTGACCTAAGGCGTAAACGACGTCCATGTACAACTTCTTTAATTTAAAATTACCGCTAGAAACAATGAACCACTTTGTGAAGCGAAGAGGACGCTGGAGTTCTATTTCTGATGGGGATTTTTTCTGGCACAGGTTCTTTGTCGTCCTGGTCACTTGTTCTACATGGTACGGCATCGGAACCGCTCAACAACGACACAACCCCCGCATCTGACCTGGTGAGACCAACCTCTCCTAACTGTGTCACAGTTTCGGATGATTCCGACTACTCAGCAACAAAAGGAATCAACAACGATTTGGTAATCGCCTTGTCTGTTTCGGGCAGTGTTATTCTCCTTGTTTGTATAGCCATAGCTGTTTATCTTCAAACAAAGAAACGCCTGAGTGGCAATTTCATAGGCCCCGATGCAAGAAACGCCGAAGTAAAAGATGAAAACCCCTATACAACAGGAAGTCCGCTGTAAACTACAAAACAAACTGGAGATAGCGAAGTTACATTTACAAGGCTTGAAAGTTCAAGCAGTTTTCTGATTGGCTGTGTTGTTGTAAATCGTAGTCGACAAAAGGATCATATGTCTCAGTGTCAAGACGCGGTAAGACATATTAGCTATTTTGTTTGTTTTTTTCACAGAAGTGTACATATGGTTATATTTTATGCTTGTGTATTTGTATGTATTGAATCGCTATTTGTTGTTTATACATATATGTGCCACCTAGATGTCGATGGCAAAATCTAAGTTGGCGATTTTATGCAAAGCATAACTTTCGAGCAGGATAGTAAAGCATGTACTTTAAGATGGCACCTTGAAGTAGGGTTGGGTTGTGAAATCATTACGTTTAGAATGTTGAGTAAAAACTTCCAATGTCACCATGGTCTTCTTGTAAAGTTGTATAATAAAGGATACAGCTCGAGTGAAACATTTTGTCATCTTCCAGTTCTTTCCGGATCCGTTTTGTATGAAAAACAAAACATAGATCAAGTATAATATCTATAGTCAATATGGGACCATTCCAAGAAAAGAAGTAAACAGAGGGGAGGTAACGTACTATGGGATGTCATAAATGCATGTAAAAATACATACTGCAAAGGGTGTTCTAGAATAAAGCGATTGGAGATAGAAGAGGTTGTGACCAACAACAATAAAAGGTTGCAACAAAACATTGATTTTTAGATATCAGTATTGACCTAAGACCATACAAGAGTAACTTTCGTGTCGTATGCATAAGAAACATGCATGTTTTGAACTTTTCCATGTGATGTGAAAACGTCTATGTTAGACAAGGTACGCTAGTTCAGTTTAGCCCCTGTCACTCTTTCAAAACCTTCCCACGACCTCCTATCCCCGAGGTTGGCTGGGGTTTGGGAGCAGTCTGACCAGAATAAAACCACGCCTACCTTTCTATACGAATCCAACTGACCTTTTTGATTTGAGTCAAACACACGAGAGAGAGAGAGAGAGACTGGTTTATTTGTACCATACACGTACATACAAAAGCCTGTAAGCAGCAATATTTGGCTGAATTGAGAAGGCTTTAAAACACAAGATATAGTACACACAGCTATTTGATAAAAGTTCTTTACATTTGATAAAAACCTATTCGTTGCATATCAAGTTTACATTAAAAATTACTACACGTTAAAAAGTACAATAACACAATAAGAAACAGTTAATTCAATGTTCCTTTTAGTTAAAATTACAGAAATAATCTAAAGTTGTAATATGCAAGGGCTGTATACGTAAAGGCTGATTTGACGTGGATTGTTTTTGCCAACCACCAGCCAACCATGGCAAACCTTCCGTCCACACCCGGCTGGTTTAAACATTTTGGAACATTCAGCTGGTGCAGCAGAAAAGTAGCCAACCTGGCCGAATGAGCCGATCCAGCCGGCCTTGCTCCCGACAAACTCCTAAGGCCACAGCAAGTAATTCTTATGGATTTGCCTGATTTTGAAAAAAAAAAAGAACAGTGGTCAACATGTCAAAAATGGGCAAAGTATGTTGCCATGCCGGAACGTGGATGGCAGATAACTATTTAGAGAGGAGATAAGAAAAGGCTCTGATTTAATGTTTTGTTTCTTACTTTGATGCAGTGATAAGTGATGCTGGCTGTGTATATGTGATGTTCCCACTGAATAAAAACCATTTGTACAATGATTGAGTCAAAATCTTAAACCTTGTTTTTCGGCCCGCCTTGGTTTTTTTCGCCCGCTCGCATTAGATTTGGAGTCTGCGGAGGATGCCATACATAAAATTTACTTGCTGTGGCCTTACCATGGCTACTGTTCGGGAGGCCATATCCGGCTGTGTGGCAGGAGCTTTACCGGTCTTACAGCGTGACCTGACCTGTACGTTTCTTATCAAGTGGGCAAACATTCTCTGTGTACCGACAGGACAACTTTCTTTGGTGATAAGCAACACCAGAAGGGTTAGTGTTGTTTGAACAGCCGGGGGCCAAACATTGCCTCATTTTTCTCGGAACAGCAGGATATCAGAGAAAGTAATTAATTCGTCCCCGGTCATAGCTGCTGATTTTTCCAATAGTACAGGCGAGGAGAAGTATTGTATAGAGACTATACTTCTGGTGGCTAACAAGAATATCTGTAATATACCTAGACATACAGACGATATCTAGTTTTGTTCGTACCGCATCTGTTTAAGATTTAAAAGATTGATATTATCGATTATACTGCCAATATATACAAGTGTATCGTGAAGTGAATGCGAGACACAGAACTATGAATATGATATAGATACCGTAGAAAATTTAAAAGTAGACGAAAGACGTTTATCTAAAATGTGAGAGCGCCGTCGGAGATTTATACCCCCCCCCCATTCCATTAAGACGGCGCTCTCACGGCGCTCTCTCCGCGACCTGAAATTGGCCAGAGCGCGGAGAGAGCGCCAAGGTCGCCATAGGAGCGCGATGAGAGCGAGATGAGAGCGGGATGAGAGCAGGATGAGAGCGCGATGAGAGCGGGATGAGAGCGGGATGAGAGCGCGATGAGAGCGGGATGAGAGCGGGATGAGAGCGCGATGACAGCGCAATGAGAGGCCAAACATTGCCTTATTTTTCTCGGAACAGCAGGATATCAGAGAAAGTAATTAATTCGTCCCCGGTCATAGCTGCTGATTTTTCCAATAGTACAGGCGAGGAGAAGTATTGTATAGAGACTATACTTCTGGTGGCTAACAAGAATATCTGTAATATACCTAGACATACAGACGATATCTAGTTTTGTTCGTACCGCATCTGTTTTAGATTTAAAAGATTGATATTATCGATTATACTGCCAATATATACAAGTGTATCGTGAAGTGAATGCGAGTCACAGAACTATGAATATGATATAGATACCGTAGAAAAATACCGCAACGAGAGCGCGACGAGAGCGGGATGAGAGCGCGATGATAGCGCGATGAGAGTGGGATAAGAGCGGGATGAGAGCGGGATGAGAGCGCGATGAGAGCGCGATGAGAGCGCAATGAGAGCGGGATGAGAGCGCGATGATAGCGCGATGAAAGTGGGATGAGAGCGGGATGATAGCGCGATGAGAGCGGGATGAGAGCGGGATGAGAGCGGGATGAGAGCGGGATGAGAGCGCGATGAGAGCGCGATGAGAGTGGGATGAGAGCGCGATGATAGCGCGATGAGAGCGGGATGAGAGCGGGATGAGAGCGCGATGAGAGCGCGATGAGAGTGGGATGACAGCGGGATGAGAGCGCGATGATAGTGCGATGAGAGCGGGATGAGAGCGCGATGAGAGCGGGATGAGAGCGCGATGAGAGTGGGATGACAGCGGGATGAGAGCGCGATGAGCGCGCAATGAGAGCGGGATGAGAGCGCGATGAGAGCGGGATGAGAGCGGGATGAGAGCAGGATGAGAGCGCTATAAGAGCGGGATGAGAGCGGGATGAGAGCGGGATGAGAGCGGGATGAGAGCGCGACGAGAGCGCGATGAGAGCCATAAGCGCCGTCACCTCGGCGATGGTCATACCATGGAACCGGGTCATACCATCGCCATGAGAGCGCCGAGGTCGGCGATGCAACGATGAGCGCCGTGAAGGTGCGAAGCGAGCGGTCTTAGGAGCAATGCCTTTGCGTCTGCACCCACCGCTAAAGAAAAGGCTAGAAATTCCGAACGATTAAACTATGATTTAAGCTGACCGGTTCCAAGGTTCTTTTCCACGAATGTCGCGGGTTCGTAGAAATAGGCTTTCAAACATGCCGAGATCATTAGCGACCGGTCAGGGTAAACATCAGAGAAATCAGGGGGATTGAAGAATTAGATTCGCAAATATTGTGCCCGAAAATGCAGTTACCGGTAAACAAGCATTTCCAGGAAATAGGCTGGTTAATTCGTAGAAGTAGGCTTTCAAACATTGTACCAAGTGTCGGTGACCTTTTTTGACCAGTCAATGTTGATTTCCACGAAAAACATGTGTACAAAGAAGGTGTTTCAACCCCAAATATTAGCGTAGGCATTAATGGTATAAAGGCCTATTTCACTTCCAAATAAGGTAATCTTGTCCTAAAATTCTCGAGACCACAAGGTGTTGACTGGAAAGGTCAAGCAAAGGACAGTTCCTATATGTCGGCCTGGTCAGTAAGGGTGTACGTCAATTGCTACCTTTGGATGTCTGTTAAAATGCATTAGATAGATTGTCGCCATGACTTTCTGGTGTTGTCACATATGGGTATATGTGTTGTAATAGAATTAGGAAAAAATTATGGGGAAGTTTCTCTTATAGCCATGAAGCAGGTAGCAGTGAAATCTTTGGAATCTACACTTCTAGGTAGCATGGGAAAAACTTAAATCTACACCCTGAACGTACTGTAGCCTTTGTCGTTGTTTTTTTTTTTTTTTTTTTTTTTGTATTCTGCCTCTCAACATTTCAGGTACAATGTGCTACTCTGGATAATGTAGCCAAAAGTTCATCTCCCTCTCTTTCCATTCCTTTCTTCTGTTAGCCTATTAGATTTCGAATTGCTAAGCTGTTAAAAGTTCTGAGTAAATGACGTCTGCACATTTCTGCGGAAAGACATAGCGATAACCATCAATAAAATTCTGCTAAAATCGAACCATTTGTCAAACACCCGGCTATAAATGATCGTTACGTCTGTGCGGCACAGACGGCGAGAGCACGGCGTAACGAAGGTCGAACAGTCGGTTGCTTTTCTCCAGTCACAATGGTAAGTTCTTACGTTTGTTAAGTTTGAGCAACTAGTAAGTTTGAATTAGTTCTGCAATAAAACAAGTTTTCATGTTCACAAGATTTCACAAAAGACAATGTTTGTTGTAACACCAAATATCGTGATATTATGATTGTAACACCAAATATCATGATATTATGACACTCAAAATATATTCATATCTCCGTTTCTTGGTCTATCAGAATAGAAGACATTGGTTGGGCACGTTTGGTGGGTAGTCTTAAACTTGATGTGGCTTTTGTTGAACTAAGGCCATGTTGATTTGATTATATGGATGACATCCTCCGGGAACCCCAAAATTGATGCGCGCGTGCGAATAAAAAAAAGGTTTGCAAAAAAAAAAAGTTATTTTCATTATGAAATCTACGTGGTCATGAGGGTTGAACAAATGGGACAGAATATGGTTTGGCGAATAATCTAGTCTTCAAGTTCATTTCTTCACAATTTCGTCTTTTTTCGTTTGATTTTGGCATTCTACGACATTGGTATGTTTTTTTTTTTTGTTAACTTACGGTATATTTTTGCTCATTTTGCAACTGTTTTGTACGATTAACAGTATGGTTGAAAACTTTTTTTTAAACGGCCGAAAATCCATGCGCGCGCGGATGTCATCCATATAATCAAATCAACATGGCCTAAAGGCAAAACCAATGTTTGTATGTATTTATTGTTCTTTGGTATATTGCTATACGTAACCATTGCACTTTGTTATCAGTGTAATAGTGTTTTAGTAGAGTCCATAAGAAAGTATTTTTATTTTTCTTGTCAACAGTTTAAGCTAATGATTCGTCGCCAGATAATCTGTGTTTATTGATATGGAAAAGCGCTGTATGTTGGGAATAATTGTTACGCACCTAGGGCTAGATGGATGGAAATGTTGATTTGGTACAGTCAATTTTGGAATAAATAGGGGAAATGGACTGAAATATGCTGTATTTGCTCCCAACCAAATACCGTCTTTCTAGTGTTTTCTGTTTTCTAATCCTTTAGCTGACAAGTAGACTTGCAGTCCTCGTTCTTTCTATGCTTGTGATTGGGATTGAGACCAGGGAAGACACTTGGGCGATCAAGCTTGCAGGTGGCCCCGAGTTGGCGAGGCGTGTGTCAAGTCGGCTGGGACTAAAACTCGTCAAACAAGTATGTTCAGACAGTTGTCTAGTAACGGTTTTGCTGTTGAAAAAATCTTTTATGGACGATATGTTACTTGATTATTTTGTAAATATATTCACGTGGATGCCAGGTAAACATGTACTATTTTTTATTTTTTTATTTTATTTTATCTAATTTTTTTTATTTTATTCAAATTGCAACAATGCAATATTCGCGGAGCAGAGGCAGCTGTTGCTGGTGTTGTGTCCCGCACATAGAAACGAATACTGGACAGACAATGCTTATTTTTACTTGAGTCTAGTGGGGAAAGTCGTGTTAAGTGCCTTTCTCAAGGGCACAAGATCGGTGTCAGGACTCGAACCCGGGACCTCCGGATTCCGAGTCGCGCACGCTGCCATTGCGCCACACGACCCCACTATGCTTATACTACATATATTATCGTAATTCCCGTTTACTACCTTTCGTTGTGGTACAATATCTCCCCAGACCATCTGCTGAGACAGGTGTAAAAACCATATTTTTTAGTTTACTACTTAATAATTTTCATTATAATCATTATATAATAGTGGGGCAGATAACTGAAATAATCTTTCAAATTGTGATACAAGCACCAAACTTGGTACAAATACTCATGAGACATTACTCTTTTGAAAAAGTACGCGGGCCACTTGATTTGACTTTTGGCGCTACCTAGCGGCGCTTTTTGGCACTGCAGCCGAAAACATGATTTTTATGTGATAAAAAGCTGTTGACATAAGGAAGAAGTGACGTAAATTTGGTCTCCCTAGCAGCTTGCGTTAGAACTGCAGAGGCGTTTTTTGCCGGTGCAAAAATTTGCTCCAAGGAGAGGACTTTTTGGTCGGCTGGAGTACCAAAAAGCGCCGTTAGGGGGTTCCAAAAGTCCAATCAAGTGGCCCGCGTACTTTTTCAAAACAGTAATGTCTCATGACTATTTGTACCAAGTAATGGTGCTTGTATCACAATCTGAAAGATTCCTCCAAAATTTGATGTTATCTGCTCCACTATAATATTTGACAGATAACGTTAACTTTTGTTTTACTAAACGCAACAGCATAACAGTGAAATTTATTTCACTTCTCTTCTACTAGATTTGTAAATAAAAGTAAAGAATATAACAATGGTACCATTACAACAGTGTTTGTTTTCTATTGAATGTGATAAATCCATGTGCACAGCAGCTATACACTCTTATATACCGATTATGTTATGTTATTGTACAACTTAAATTTCATTTGATGTTTCCAGTCTCCCTTTTTGAATCGGACTTGGATTTATGTTTACATGATTTCTGTACCTATGTTTATGTTTATGTTTATGTTTTGGTGTCTAATAAGCCCATATGGGCTGGGCGACAAAAGTCGCAATCCGTTCATTCATTCATTCATTCATTCATTCATTCATTCATTCATTCATTCATTCATTCATTCATTCATTCATTCATTCATTCATTCATTCATTCATTCATTCATTCATTCATTCATTCATTCATTCAATCATTCATTCATTCATTCATTCATTCATTCAATCATTCATTCATTCATTCATTCATTCATTCATATATGATGAATTTGCACTGGGGACATCTTTCTTAGACAGGGGAAATCTAGTCGTTACACTGAAGTTGGTCATGTTTTTAATAGATATTTGGCGACTACTACCTACTGGAAGACTCCGTCCCATATCGTCGAAATGATGATCAGATACGTGCATTGTTGTCACGCGAAAGTCTGGTAAGAGCTTCAAGTATTAAATGGCTAGTGATAGTTATATTATTGTCTGTCTGTCACGTTTTTCATTTCTGTTATGAAATTAATCACGCAGATTTATATACTATATAACTGATGACTAATTTTATCATGCATTTGTTAGGTATTTCTAGGCAATACAAGTTCCAAACTCCATATTCCCCTGATGTACCAGGCCAAGCATTGAATATCCGATTGTTCTCCGAGGTTTTCCTAAACCACAGTCGAAAGACAGTTTTCCGTGAGTCAGTACTGACATTAGAGGCCTTTTAGGTAGTAGAACACAGTTTTCGTCCGATGGGGATTTCTATACTTAAGGTAGTAGAACACAGTTTTCGCCCTATGGGGATTTCTATAGTTAAGGACTCCAAGATGACTCACTTCGACGTGGTAAAATTATAGCAGGGTGTACTTTAAAAATACGAAAATCGAATATCTTTGAGAAGAAGGTACAAACTACAAAATATCTAGAAACCAAAAAAATCCTGTCGGCGTATCTGCTCGTAACGTACACTTTGAAATCGCCCTCTACGGAAGTGACCTGAACTGCAGCCGACTCACCCGGAAAGCCAGTTGCGTAATACGGCGCATTTATACACGAACTGCAAAACCTTCACAATTCAAATCATACAGTCTCAAACCCGATACATTCCTACACCACACAGCACAATTTACGTCTGGCTGACGCTCTTATCAGGCTTTCTACCCAGCCTTCAAGAATATTCACTGTTCCATGGCTAAATTTATAGCCTTGTCGCATTGACGTTTACCTGTACTTGTGTAAAGAGGGATTATAGCTCTCTAGCGAGTTTGCGTTATCATCGTGTAAATTATGTAATTTTTTAAACCATTTGTATAATTTTATGAAGCTGCTGTCTGTAGGAAAAACTCATTTCAGACTCTCGTCTGCAAGTTGTTTGAAAAAAGATTGATTGATTGATTGATTGAATGATTGATTGATCAATTGATTGATTGATTGATCAATTGATTGGTTGCTTGATCAATTGATTGATTGATTGATTGATTGATTGATTGATTGATTGAAGCTCTACCTTTAGCCCCAAACATACAATATAGCTTCTGTATCTGTGTAGGTATAGCCGGTATAGCCGCACCTTGGCGTAACACACCAGCTTCTCCGAATTGCTTGTGCGAACAATAGTCTTTAACTATGTAACAGATCAGAGTTAGTTTTATAATGCAGTTTACAGTTTTACTTCCATCATTTACCAGGTTGAGTGGTTCAAAAAGCAAATTCCACGGAAGCGCTACGTACGAGCCGTTCCAAACTTTAACGACGCCGAGTGGAGCAAACAGTCCTACTTAGTGAGTACAGAAATAAATGAACTGTATGCATAACCTGACCTAACCTAACCATTACCTTAGCCTACACTTTAAAGTGGTTTTGAATTCATAATTTGAATACAGAATATAGTCAATGGTAATGCAATACAGCAATTTATTTATTTCTGCTTTATTTAAACAGGGTAGAAACCTCAGTGCTATTTAAAACCACTGCTTTTCAGGAATGCCCTGTAACAACAAGTTACACGTGAAAACAATGAAATCAACACATTAAACAATACATAACGTTACAAAATAACCAAGCGTCAAAACAAAGTCGTTTACTGTAAATCAATGTCCTTGAGCCACCCACATGTAAATTTTACACATTTAATTAAAAATTTTACGAAAACACAAAGAAATTAGTCTAAGGTCAACAAACATCTGTCCACACTGGCTGTACTGTAACCCAAAACATTTTAAGTGGCTCCCATGAGCCTTGTTTTGTGGTGACCGATGAAGTAAATTAAAAAATGGCATTTTTAAGATACTATCGTGTCTAAGCTTTAGTTCTTATTGTTTTTTTAAATTTCTTATGCTATTCAGCATAGTGGGCAGATAAACATGAACGTCCTACCGGCGTGGCAACAGTCGTACCACGGGGAGGGGATTCTGGTCGGGGTTGTTGACGATGGAGTGTTTAAGAATCACCCTGACCTGGCGACACGTGTGGTATGTTCTTTTTGAGAGATTTACTGGTTTGGGAAACTTTAAAAGATAGAAATATGTAGCTCATAGATGGCTAGAATAGATAGAATATATGACTGTAATGTGTAATCATACAAATAACGTATAACAATGTACAACATTGACGATGTACAGCTGTATAATATGATGTTTTATTCAAGATTTTAATGTAATTTGTTATTTTAATGATTGATTGTAATATAATGCGTGCAGTGTCATATGTGAAACTTTGACATACTTCGTGTCATATGGCACTCATTGTATATATATGACATGCCAGTCAATCTTAAATAAAACTGATACTGATACTGAAGTATCAGTTGCGATTGATACAGATGTGAGGTTTTTTGGGAGGTGTTCTGACATTGAGGTCAGACTGATGTGAGCTTTGTTTTGCTCACTAGAATCATGGTTCATCCCACAACTTCGTCAGCGTGCAGGGTTCGGCGTGGCCCTGGTCCCCCTGGTCAGATCCAAACGACCCAACACCATCCTCAGAATCAGAAAGGTTTGTGTCATGGTTATGTTCGTTGTTACATGTAAAGTAGATGTAGTAGATGCCACACGCTGTACCTTGTAAAATTATAGTGCATTTAAGAAAAGTTTACACGTACTTTTGTCTTGTCTGTTATGTGATTTCTTAGTAGAGAGCTACATATTTATAACCGTTATAAACGTTGCGATGGAAGCTGGAAAAGAGCCCAATGTTCCAATTCCACACCACCCTACGCTAGCAGGTAATGAGGTTCAAAGGGTCACCTCCTTTAAGCTACTAGGTGTCCACATCTCTTCTGACCTCACGTGGGACATTCACATTCAGCAGATGCTGAACAGAGTCAGACCACAGATGTACTATCTTAGCATGGTTTTCTTAAAAGAAGGCGGGACTCTCTGCTGAGGTGTTAACTCAGATTTATCTGACGTTCATTCGACCTGTACTCGAGTACGCCAGCCCTGTGTGGGGTGGACTGCCCAAACATCTCTCGGACTCCCTGGAGTCAGTACTGTCTCAGGATAATTGGGCTATCTGCTGACTCGCTCCCTACACTAGCAAGTAGACGGGACAGAGCTACCCTGAGAACACTTGACAGCATCCTTCAGCATAACACTTCTCCCCTCTGGGCATTTATAACCAGCCCGTCAGACAGTCACTACAGTATTCGTAGGGGACGTCGGCATCGAACAATGATCAGTAAAAGTAAAAGACATGCCATGTCCTTCATTCCAAGATCCTTAAGACTGCTCTATGCTATTGATAACTAGCTCTCTATAGTTGTATTTAGGGGCTAATTTACTCCATTGGCCACTGTGGACTTCACATTATTAAAGTGCGTAGATCACATTGTTAAAACATCTCGTACTTGCAATCCTAGCACTGAGTTTGTTTGAGCTGACCTGTAACACACGCTCATACATCATGGTACGTGGCTGCTCTCACCAGAAACATTTTGTAAATAGATTACCTGATATCCCTTTATATCTTATTCCTGATATGACTTTTAGAATTGTATTTTATCATGTATTACGAATTTTATACTTGGATTTTAAAGGCGGATCTGTAAGCAATTTAGGTGTTGATTTTATATTGTACCTGCTATGTCATTGGTAATAAAATCTGAATCTGATGAGAAAATTGGGAAATAACAATTTGCTATATATGCATGTGTCCAGCCATGGAACTCGCTGTGCCGGGATCATCGCTGCACAGGAAAACAACAACATCTGTGGCGTAGGTGTAGCCTACGGTGCAGAGATAGCAGGTCAGTGATATTGCGGTAATCAAATTAGATATATAGATAGATATCATATTTAAGAGAAACAGATACTGATTCACTTCATGTATTTAGCATTGTGGCCGACGTTAACGTTGACAGCGTCGGTCACAACCCGCCGTACGTGCTTCTGCGTGCTGTCTACGTGCAAAAACGTGGGCAAACGCAGGGCATCCGTGCGTAGTGAGTACCACCTCCTACGGATTTTGGAGCACGCAGACACGCCGTAGAACTTTAAGTGCATGTAAAACCTTTTCTTCGTGTGGTCTGCGGATTCACCACCCGTACGTGCGAGTACGGGCGACGCGCGTGCCCCGTACGTACCGTGCTTTGCAGCACGTGTGAGTACGGCCCCCTTATGGTTAAGTGGCAATCGCACAAAGATCGTACGTTACGACTTGCGTAACGAACGATGCAAGCAACCGCTCACGGCCAGACGTGGAGTGCAGACCCCACTCTTACATCTTGCGCAACCGTGCGAGTGACGTGCGTCGACGCCACTCCTTCCCCACGTTTTCAGAACAAACGTAGCAGACGTGGCCTCCCAATAAAATGTACGGACAAAAAGCATACGCGGTGGGTTGTGACCGTCGCTTGACAAAAATACCAAAATGACCCTGCTCAACTATATTGATTAAAGATCAATATTGCGGAGGGGTAGTATTTTAACAGCAGAGGACAAAATTTAATTGTGCAAATCTATTAGGCCATGTTAATTTGATTATTTGGATGACATTGTCTGGGAACCCCAAAACTGATGCGAGCGTGCAAATAAAACAAAGGTTTGTCTAAAAAAAATTGCTTTCAATATGAAATCTACGTGGTCAAGAATGTGGAACAAATGACACAGAGTATGGTATGGTGAATAATCTACTCTTCAAATTCATTTTTTTTTTCATTTTCGTCTTTTTTTTATTTTGTCATTCTATGACATTGGTATCGTTTTCCAATATTTTTTTGTGTGCAGCTTACGGTATATATTTGCTCATTTTGCAACTGTTTTGTACGATTTACATCGTGACATGGTTGAAAACTTTTTTAAAACGACCGAAACTTCATGAGCGCGCGGATGCCATCCATATAATCAAATCAAAATGGCCTTAAGTTCACGAATGCTACCATCGTTACTACCAGGACTTCGTCTTTTCGGTAATCCCAACGGATTTACCGAGGAAGAGGAGGCTAGCGCTCTGACGCACAACCTCCAAAACATCCACATCTACTCCAACAGCTGGGGACCAAATGATTACAGCAATGAGATCACTGGACCTGGAGACCTGGTGTTCCCTGCACTGAACCATGGAGTAACATTTGTATGCATTCAGTTTGTTTTACAAAGTTAGGTAGTGTATTGTTGTAATGTTTAACTATCTATAAGTGAAACACGACATCTTTTACTCCCGGGCCTGTAAGTATGCTTGTGTGTCTGAATTTTAAGCTAATTTGTTTCAAAATCAGTCACCTTGGTGGTTTGACAGTTGGTTGCAAAAGGAGGATGGGGTATTGAATTGGCGGTTCTGTGGAGCAATTCAGGAAGTGATATAACATATTATTGAATTGAAACATACAACCCCCTCCACAGTTTCAATACATTCATGAATACCTTTAGCACTTGGCAAGAGACTGAGGTTTCGATGTCTGGCTTGTTTTGCTTTTAGGGACGTCATTGGAAGGGATCTATTTACGTGTTTTCAGCTGGAAATGGTGGTTATGCTGGTGACAGGTGGGCAAACAAACATCACATTAATGATATTAATACTGTACTTTTATTCATCACTTAAAAATCAAACTGCTGCAAAAAAAATGCTAATCTCTCAAACTAAAAGCGTAAATCTTTAATGCCTTACGAATACAAAACGTCTATTGCAGTGTGATTGGAAGATTCCTTAATACATTTTAGGTCTTCTCGCCATTTCCAGGTTTTCTGACCTTAAATCAATGGTTATTACTGTAGTATAGATGTGTTTTGTTCTGGCAAATTTGGGACAGGTGATATCTCAGAAAATTCTATCTCTGATTGAAGCCAAGCCAAGAAGATATCTCTGATTGAATGATATTATTAGAAGGCTGACATTCTTTAGGAAAAATATTATGTTTCCTGTTTCCCGACAGACGCTGAAAAACACTGCCGATCCTAGACTTTTTTGGGGTCACAACTGCAAGGGACATAAATTTCTCAAGTTGATCGACTATATCTACAAATGATCTGACAAATGAGTGATCAAATTTTGTCAAATTGGTTTTACAACATTGACAATTTTACTTTCTTAAACTGTATTGCTTGATCAATAGAGATTGCCAAAGTTTAAAAAAAGATAATCCCTACCTACATGTACCTACCGACCCTAATTTTTGCAGGACTGAAATAGGAAACACCAATTTAATTTGTTGGTTCTCGGATTCACCTCTTCATTTTTTCTTGAGTTGCAAAAAGAAAAAGATTCTGGCTCTGAATCAACTAAAAATGCTCATATTTTGCTGCCAACAGTTGAGAAAAGTCCTTTTCTTCCTAGATGTTGCAGGTTTTCCATCTATCAATGCAGAGGTTTGATTAAAAGTTCAAAATTCGTTGACAAATATTAACCCAGCCTTTTGTGTTGAAATCATGGCTCCAATCGTATCATTTGGGGCTATAATAGCATGCCTAGACCTGTTTTTATTTTATTTTTTTTTGCCCTGTCGCTTCATACTTTTTTCTGAAAAAATCCGAGAACCAACAAATTAAATTGGTGTGGCCTAACAATGTTACCCCTTCTTTAGCTGCGCTTATGACGGCTACATCAACTCCATCTACACCATTGGGATCAATTCTGTACTTTCAAACGGACAAGTTGCCGGCTTCTGTGAGGCTTGCAGTGCTGTCACCGCTGTTGTGTACGGAAATGACTTTGCTGATACACGAACAAATTTTGTAAGTACACGCACCTTCTTAGGGTATAAATTGGACCTTTTTAACAACAATTGAAGAGAGCCTGGGTCACCAAAGTTGCCTTCCTTGGTATTTCTCTCAAACAAAAAGGCATGTGTACTTATATAAAGTCTAAAATGTATCTTTTTCGTAGTATACGTTTCTAGCAATTCACGCTCATTTGAGGAAGTATATACTTTCTAAAAGGAGACATATGTCATTTTTTATTGTTAGGTGGCCCCAACTAAGAACGCTGACTGTATGCTAGACTTTTCTGGAACTTCTCCTTCTGCTGCTCTAGCCTCTGGGGTGATTGCACTTGCTCTTCAAGCGAAGTAAGTAAAATGCCTGGACTAGGGTAACGGAATATTGCATGGAATAAGTTTTTTTCTTTATTACCATACACCCTGGCGATGTAGACCAAAGAGGAGCCTCCATTTTCCATCGCTTATCATGCCTTCACATCATAAGTGGTGAATAATGAAAAAAAGTGGTCGGCAATTAGAATAACCGACCACTTTTTTTGACCGTTCCATCATACAGGGGACAGGGAACTAACAGTAGTTATAAGACCTGTAGTTTGCTTACTTGCTTAAGGCTGTCCGTCGTTGCCGACGATGACGTCACTTCTGTGTGTCCTTCTGTGGCTAACAAGTCCTATTCTGGAGAGGCAGGTCCGTCCGCAGACGTCGCATGCGTGCTCTCCCGTGCTGCTCGGGGGCTGGTGTCGTCGTTGTCTGCGCTCCTCGCGCAGGCGGTTGTACTCTGCTGTATATGTGATGATCCCTGTAGCGCACTCCTGGCGCCACCTACTTCTCTCCGCAGCAGCTTCTTCTAGACGGTGAGGCTGCAAACCGCACTTCTTGAGATTTGACTTCAAGTTGTCTTTGTACCGCTTGTGCTGGCCACCGACAGAGCGGCTGCCGTTGGTGAGTTCTCCGTACAGAATATGTCTCGGGAGGCGGTTGCCGGGCATGCGAATGACGTGACCGGCCCATCTTAGCTGTCTCTGGAGGAGCAGTGTTTCCAGCGGTTCCACGTGTGCTCTGCGGCGGATTTCGCCATGTGGGACCTTGTGCCACCACTTCAAGCCGAGTATTCTTTGGAGACATCTCGTGTGGAACTGCTCAAGCATGCGAGTGTGTCGTCTGTATGTTGTCCAAGTCTCGCATGCGTACAGTAAGATCGAAAGGCAGATTGCCCTATACACCGCGACTTTTGTCTTGGTTGTGAGGTCCTTGTTCAGGAACACCCTATTGGCGAGACTCCCAAAGGATGCAGAGGCGAGACCTATACGTCTCTGGACTTCATCAGAGATATC